ACTGTAAGAAGGCAAGGGCTCCCCTAGGCCTCAGGTACAGCCCATACTTCCAGGTGCAGTCCCAGTGGTAACCAGCAGGGAGGCTAAGTGAAATTTTACAGAATCCAAGATAAAGAGAAAGGTAGTAGTAATCTGGGAATCCTAAACTCACAGTGACTCAGCATCTCTCAAATTCTCCCTCTTACTTCCTCCCTGAGAAATGTTTATCAGCAAATTTGTTTCTCCTGTTCCCACAAGTCAACATCCTCACTAGGTTTTCCCTGAGGAGGTGGAGAGAAGTGTGGCTAATGGGGAACTTTTGAGTCACAATCCCTCCCAGGGAAAGTGGGGCTAGGAGGCAGCTGAGAGTGGGATCCTGGAGGCCTCCACCCTTTGGGGGCACCCAGATAGTCAGTATCTTCAGAGTCACTCAGGCCAGCAAGGGTGGGGCTGTATATCTGGACAGGCCAGACTCTGCTGGGGGTTGGTGAAGTTGGGATTGTGGGGGCTGGGTCCTGCTGCATGATACTTATCCCCTTTCCTGGGAGGCAACTCTAAATTTTCAGCCCTCATTGACTTTCCTGGGGCCCGTTTCCCCAAGTCTTCACCCTTGTCTCCATGATCTTCTTTCCATTAGGTACTCATAGCAACCTACTCCTCAGTTTTTCAATTTTGAAATCCTTGGTACTCAAACCAAGTGCTGGAGGGCTCTCAGCGGTTAAGAGCAAGTGTCAGGTAACAAATTCCAGCACTGCCCCTTTCCAGTTATGTGACACTGGGCAAGTCACTCAGGGAGACTCGGTTTTCTCTCATTTGTCAGGTGAGGTGATACTAGTTCCCACCTCACTTGAGTGCTATGAGGATTCGACACATATGGCGAGAGGACAGTGCAGGGAAGATGCCTCATGCCTGGCTTAGCGACGCCCTTGCTGGGTGCGCAACCACTCACCACCATCACCACCACCACTACCACCAGCACACCAAACTGTCTTTTATAAGAGCAATGGATGTAAACCTGTCACTGTAAAACAGTCCCCCAGCCTCCCAGGGCCATTTCGTTTCCCTTGAGACTCAAGAGAAAACTGGACATCATAGCGTCCCCCATTTCTGCCCCCGTGGCCACCAGCTTTGCCCTCTAGGTCCTCGCACACCAAGGCACGATGGCTCCAACCTCCCTGGGCCCAGTCCCACGATGCCTAAAGTTCCAGCTGTGCACCCCGCGACATTCCCTGCCCGTCCCAGCTCATGCCTGCTTGCACCGCCTGCGCCAGCGTGGTGAGCCCGGTGTTGCCGGTGGCGCCGAAAAGGGCAATCTTCTTGACGACCATGCTGCGGGATCGTGGGGGCGCGAGGCCGCGGAGTCGCAGGACACGCGGGAACCGACTGGCTGCTGGTTCCCCTCGCGTCCTTTCCTGGAGGGAGGGACGGGGCGGGGCCGCCTAGAGGACCAACCCTCAGCCCGCCTCCAGCCCCACAGTGCGGTCGAGGGGAGGGGCCAAAGGCCACGCCTCCCGCTGAGGACAGAGAGGGCGGAGCTGGAGACCGCTCTCCCGAGGCCCAGCACCGCCCCGTCCGCCCGCCACTTAGCCCGGAAGGCGTATCCGGCTGTCCGCGAAGGTGGACGCAGAGCACCGCCTCCGCTCTCTAGCCTCCCGGGGTGGGGCGGGGCGAGCGCTGGCCTCGCCCACAGTTCTCCTCGTTCACGCCTCCTTTCTCACGGCCGCGAGTCTGATCTGGGGCTCACATAACACCCCACGGCCTTCCCAAGGCGACAAGGGGAGAAAGTGAGGCAGGACAATGTGGGTGCGTGAGGGTGACACTGTAGCTGCGTGTCTATGTTCCCGTGTTGACCCCGTGTGACTCTGCGAATAACCCCAAGGGAGAGCATGATCGTGGAAGACACTTGTGCCCTCTGTGTAAAACACCGTGTTACGGTGTGAGACTGTGTGTGACACCACGTGTGGAAGGCACTGATGCTCTTCCTCTTTGACCTTGTGGTGACACCGGTGGATAGTGTGACCGTTTGTGATACTACATGCATCCATGACGCTGGGGCATATGGTGTGAGTGTGGGACATGTGTGAGTTGTGATATACGGGAGTGTGTGACTCTTCGTGTGTGACTCTGTGACATCATTTGAGTGTGGCTGTGGGTGTTACTGTTGTGATGTTATTTGTGACCTGTGCTGTGTAACGTGTGTGTGACAGTGCAGGATGTGTGTCTCCCATGTGAGTGTGTAACAAGTTTGAGTGTGTCAAAGTGTGTGAGCTGTGTGATGGGGAAGCCGTGTGTGATATGTGAGTCGATGACACTCTGTGATCCCACAGAAGTGTGCAGCAGTGTGTGGCACATGTGTGCTCGTATATGACTCCACGTGAATGGTGGTGACACAATTTGAGTGTTTTACGGTGTGTGACGCTGTCGGGCACGGTTTCAGCGCGGGACCTCGTGACGGGCCGGGCCGAGGACACCGACAGGGAGGGCGGTCGGCCACGGCGAGCAGCGGGGACAACGGCACCGGCGGCCGCGGGCCCAGGTGAGCGGCGTGGGGGCGGATAGCCCCTCCCTCCAGCATCTTCCCACCTGCCTGAGCATCCCTCCCCCGCGCCCCGTGGGCATGGCCTGAGCCCTGAGGGTCTCCCCGGCTGGGGGAGGCAGAGGGTCGAGGGCAGAATAAGTCCCCAGTCCCTCATCAGTCCAACCTCGGCGCCATACGTGAGACTTCCACCCAAGCCTTGTCCTTCCCAGGCCCCCCTCCTTGGGAACGGTGACTAGACTGTAGGGAGAGAGAGGCGCGGCCTTGGAAGGGTTAAAGCATCGGCTCTCAGCTCGTATCCCCAGCCTCGCCCGACCAACCTTTCCTGGGGCCCTCAAGACACCCCTTTTCACCTCCCCCACCGCCTTCTCCCTTCCCCGTTGAATCACGTAATAGACAGGGCTGTTCCACCTCTAGCCTGACCGAGAGCTCACCAAGTGCTAAGTGCCTTTCCATCTCCAAGTATCCTCCATTGAGGAAACAGCTGTGTTCATCGTTTAACAGAGAGGGACACTGAGGCAGGAGAAGCCAAGTTAAAGGTAATCGTGTTTAAAGATAGAGCACGAATCGAGCAGGACTTGAACTCATTTTTGTCTGACTTCAGCACAGGCACTTTGATTTTCTAAGATATGTGACTGGAGGGTGAATAGTAATAGCAAGGCCCGTGTATTGAGGGCTTATGGTGTATTAGGTACCATGTTCCCCACATCATTAATTCTCTCATCTTCAAACACCCCTAGGAAATGGGTACTATTATTATTGTTACCATTTTACAGATGAACAAACTGAGCCCTAGAAAAGGCGACTTGGCCAAGGTCACACAGGTGCCCACTTAAAGCTTTTCATGGAAGAAGGGAAAGATAATCACGGATTTTTGAGTGTCTATGGAAAGGGACAGTCTCTACTACATTGACCAAGACCTAGACCCTGCCTTTCTAAAATCTGATTTGTGGGCTACTGTCTGAATATTTTGAGAATGGGGACATTGAGCTCCTCGCAGCTGTCTCTTTTCTTAGTCTTAGAACCAGGCCTGGGGTTCTAGAGAATGGAGGAGATGTATCTAATATCTCCCACACCCTTAAATTTCATATTTACAATCTGGCAGTGTTCTAGAACATCACTCTAGAGTCAGACAATATGTCAGTCAGCTAGTGCCACAAAAATGCTACATAAGAAACCACCTCCAGACTCAGTGTCTTAAAACACTAGGCATTTATTTAGCCTTGAGTTAATCTGAGGTCAGTGACTTGGGCTCATCTGAGCTTATTTCCCAGTTAGGATGGGTAGGGGGATGTTGACTGTTGGTTGCTGAGGCTGGCCTTGGCTGTGATGAGGGCCTTGGACTTGGACTAGCCCAGCAATGTTTTTCTCATGGCCACAGTCAAACACAAGCAAAAACATGCAAGATCTCCTGAGTCCTGGGCTCAGAACTCACTAGTGCTTCTACCTAATTCTGTTGGTCACAGCAAGTCGTGTGGCCAAGCCCAGAGTCAGGGGGTAGGGCTTCCCCCCACTCAACCCCACTCTTTCATTCCTCCCGTCCCCAGAGTGGGAGAACACTGAGGAGCTATGTGGCAGAGGACGTGGCTATACGGATGAAGAATTGAGACTGTTAATGCAGTTATTCAATCACAGTGACTAAGTTTCAATCCTGGTTACTCACTAGCTGTGTGACTTTGGGCAAGTGAATTAACCCCTCTGTGCCTCAGCTTCCTCCTCTGTAAAACAGGCCTAATAATACCTTTCTTTAGAGTGTTAAATTTGTGGGAATTAAATAAGATATAATGCATATAAAGTACTGAGCACAGTGCAAGTGCTCAATAAATATTAATTATTGTTTTTAGTGCCTTATAGAGTTCTATTGATAACAATGCTATAATTCTAACAATAACAGTGACAGTTTTTTAGGGAGGAGGCCATGTGGCATGCAGGATCTTATAGGTTCAATCTCTAGTTCCCCAACTAGAAATTGAACCACCTATGACCCCTGCAGTGGAAGTGCTGAGTCTTAACCACTGGACCACCATGGAGTCCTAACAGTGACAATTTGCTGAGCCCTTACCCTCTGCTAGGTGTTAAGGTGGGTGTTTGACCACATCCCTGTGATGCGGTTAGGGTGAAAATTATTGTCATTATTAGCATGTCCCTCCCTTCTAAAGACAGAGAAACTGAAAGTGAGAGAGGGGATAGAACTCACAGTCCGTCCCTGTTAGAGGCGGGATCTCTAGACTTTATTGGTGGTCCGGTGGCTAAGACTCCATGCTCCCGATACAGGGGGCCTGGGTTCGATCCCTGGTCAGGGAAACAGAGCTCCTGTGCCACAAGTAAATATCCTGCTTGCCACAGTGAAGATTGAAGACCCTGCATGCTGCATCTAAGACCTGGCACAGCCAAATAAATAAATTTTTTAAAAAGAAGTGGGACTTCTGAACTCAGCCCCTGTCCCTAACCTGCCTCTCCTCATCCCCAGGCCTCATCTCCCCCAATGGCGCAGGTACCAGGGGAAGTGGACAACATGGAGGGGCTGCCAGCCCCCAATAACAACAACCCTGCAGCCCGCTGGGACAGTCCCGATCGGGGCTGGGAGCGGGAGCAACCAACCACTGCAGCAGCCTCACTCTTTGAGTGCTCCCGGATCAAGGCCTTGGCAGGTACCTGGAAGAGGGCTGGGGTTGGGGGTGGGAGAGAAGGAAGGGAAGGCACTGCCGGGGTGGTGTCTGTATACCTTGATGACCTGGAGGATGGGAAGAGGGTTACAGACACTTGGAACTGGAGTCTTTAGACCAGCACTCTCCAGTTTTAGACCAGCACTCTCCAGTAGAACTTTCCACGATAATGGGAAATTGTTCTCTATCTGTGATGTCCAGTATTGTTGTTTAGTTGCTAAGCACGTCCAACTCCTTTGTGACCCCATGGACTATTAGCCCACCAGGCTCCTCTGTCCATGGGATTCTTCAGGCAAAAATACTAGAGTGGGCTGCCATTCCTTCTCCAGGGGATCTTCCTGACCCAGGGATCGAACCCATGTCTCCTGCATTGGCAGGCAGATTCTTACCACTGAGCCACCTGGGAAACCTCTCATAGAACCTTAGAAATGTACAATCCCAGAAACGTGGGACTTTCTAAGTGTGCTTCCTTAGAATCCCAAAATGCTGACATCTAGCATCTTAGGACCATGGAGTGTCATACTCAGAGATTCTTTGAATCAAAGACCTTTAGAAGTGGTGACTCTTGTAAACAGAACTTTGTAATCACCCATCTTAGACATTTTAATTGTTGGGTCTTACAATCTTAAAGCCTCAGAAATCTAGACTCTAATACACATAGGTCCTTAGGGCTTTATAATCCTAAAGCTTTAGGATTTCAGATTAGAAAAATGGATACTGAGCACTTTGAGAAAGAATGACCACACCTTCATGTTTTTTTGCACTGAAACCCTCAGTCTTGGGACAACTAGAATGGTTAGTCACACTACTTTGATGTTTTAGGACAATATAAGCAAAAACCAGGGAACTGTATAGAATCTTAGGACTTTAGACCTTTGGAACTTTAAGCTCTTGAACCTTTGGCCTTTGTATTTATGGAGTTTTAGAACCTCAGAAGTGTTTAATCCTCAATACTAAAGTTTTATGAGCAAAGACCCTTCTCAGACACACAATTCCATAATTGTAGCCTTTAAAAGATTAGACCCTTAGCATGTTGACCCTTGGAACGTTAATATCTCAGAAGTGTGGCATGTTATACACATAAAATATATATTGTCAGAGTCATAAAATCTTAAAATCCCAAAGTCAATATCAGTTCCCTCAGAATCTCAGAATGTTAGTAATTCAGCATTTGACAATCGTGGGATCTTCAATACTCAGATTCTTGGAACTTTATAATATGTTAAGCATCTCGTTAAACTCATGGGCCTCTGGGGAAGCAGGTGACATATACAAATGAGTGGCCTGGGGGCTGTGGTCAACTGGTCACCAGCTCTAAACCCTAGGAAATATGGGCCCAGAGCTGCTAGCTCTGATGTTTATCTGCTGTTTCCCAATTAAAAAAAGAAACTGTAAGTAAGTGCACAAAGTCTGAACCAGATTCAACCCATGGATTGCTGACTTCCTCTGGTTTCGACACCTAGAAGGATATAAACATATACTCATGAAAACTTAAAACTGTACTCTATTTTTTCATTATTTTGGTCGTACCACACAGCATGTAGGATCTTAGGTCTCCAATCAGGGATCGAACCCACACCCCCCGTATTGGAAGTGCAGAGTCTTAACCACAGGACCACCAGGGACGTCCCAAAAATGTATTTTTAGACTCAGATTTAAAACCTTAGGCATGTATCCTCTTAGAATTCTAGAATTTATTAGTTCATCCACAAAATATTTAGGCAGTGCCTGCTCTGTGCTTGGCCTGCTCTGTGCTTGGACAATAGGAGGGATGTAGTGGTGACTGAGGCAGCCCAGGTCCTGCTTCTCCAGGGCTCCCAGTCCAGTGGGAAAGTTAGATCCAGCCTGGCTGTGATGAGCCACAGGGATCAGAGCTGAGATGGGGGAGGCATGGGCAGAGGCCAGATGGGGAAACTCAGAGCTGTAGGAGCCCAGATGAGGGGCCTGATTCAGGAGAGAGGATCAGAGTGCTTCATGGAGGAGAAGATGGCTAAGCTGAACTCCAAAGGACGAACAGGAGTGAATCCTGGGGAAGAGAGTGGAAGAATTTTCCAGAGGGAGGGAACAGCATAGGCAAGACCACCAGAAGTTGAGAGTGGCTGGAGCGAGTGGTGAGTAAATGATGTTGGGAGAGGAGGCAGTGGCAGCCAGATCTTGAGGAGCCTTATTGGCCATTCTGAAGAGTCTGAGGGCACCTGGACTATGGGGAGATTTTATGCAGAGGTGGGATGTGTCTATGTGTGGATCAAGGACTCTACAACTTTAAGAACCACTGATTTGAAAACACCAGCCCCAGACACTTCAGATAGCATCCAGTCCAGAGAAATGTAGGGACCTCCTTTAAGGAAAAAAGCTTTCTCATACACTCCCTGTGTCTACTTAAATTATTACAACTGTGGTTTTCTGTTGTCTTTTTTCTTTTCCATCATGGTTTATTATAGGATATTGAATATATCTCCTTGTGCTATACAGGAGGACCTTGTTGTTTATCCATTCTATACATTTATAATAGTTGGCATCTGCTAATCCCAAACTCCCAATCCATCCCTCTCCCACTCCCACATTTTCTGTGTCTGTGAGTCTGTTTCTGCTTCATTTGTGTGATATTTTAGATTCCACATATAACTATTATCATTGAACTATGGTTTTCTTAAATATACAAAAACACACAGCTCTGTTTATATCTCTTATGCTTGTTCTGGAACTAAAACACATAAGTTGGATTGAGACTCAAACCACAAAACCAGTAACTTCAGCTTAACAATGACAAAGCAGGTGACATATACAAATGAGTGGCCTGGGGGCTGTGGTCAACTGGTCACCAGCTCTAAACCCTAGGAAATATGGGCCCAGAGCTGCTAGCTCTGATGTTTATCTGCTGTTTCCCAATTAAAAAAAGAAACTGTAAGTAAGTGCACAAAGTCTGAACCAGATTCAACCCATGGATTGCTGGCTTCCTCTGGTTTCGACACCTAGAAGGATATAAACATATACTCATGAAAACTTAAAACTGTACTCTATTTTTTCATTATTTTGGTCGTACCACACAGCATGTAGGATCTTAGGTCTCCAATCAGGGATCGAACCCACACCCCCCGTATTGGAAGTGCAGAGTCTTAACCACAGGACCACCAGGGACGTCCCAAAAATGTATTTTTAGACTCAGATTTAAAACCTTAGGCATGTATCCTCTTAGAATTCTAGAATTTATTAGTTCATCCACAAAATATTTAGGCAGTGCCTGCTCTGTGCTTGGCCTGCTCTGTGCTTGGACAATAGGAGGGATGTAGTGGTGACTGAGGCAGCCCAGGTCCTGCTTCTCCAGGGCTCCCAGTCCAGTGGGAAAGTTAGATCCAGCCTGGCTGTGATGAGCCACAGGGATCAGAGCTGAGATGGGGGAGGCATGGGCAGAGGCCAGATGGGGAAACTCAGAGCTGTAGGAGCCCAGATGAGGGGCCTGATTCAGGAGAGAGGATCAGAGTGCTTCATGGAGGAGAAGATGGCTAAGCTGAACTCCAAAGGACGAACAGGAGTGAATCCTGGGGAAGAGAGTGGAAGAATTTTCCAGAGGGAGGGAACAGCATAGGCAAGACCACCAGAAGTTGAGAGTGGCTGGAGCGAGTGGTGAGTAAATGATGTTGGGAGAGGAGGCAGTGGCAGCCAGATCTTGAGGAGCCTTATTGGCCATTCTGAAGAGTCTGAGGGCACCTGGACTATGGGGAGATTTTATGCAGAGGTGGGATGTGTCTATGTGTGGATCAAGGACTCTACAACTTTAAGAACCACTGATTTGAAAACACCAGCCCCAGACACTTCAGATAGCATCCAGTCCAGAGAAATGTAGGGACCTCCTTTAAGGAAAAAAGCTTTCTCATACACTCCCTGTGTCTACTTAAATTATTACAACTGTGGTTTTCTGTTGTCTTTTTTCTTTTCCATCATGGTTTATTATAGGATATTGAATATATCTCCTTGTGCTATACAGGAGGACCTTGTTGTTTATCCATTCTATACATTTATAATAGTTGGCATCTGCTAATCCCAAACTCCCAATCCATCCCTCTCCCACTCCCACATTTTCTGTGTCTGTGAGTCTGTTTCTGCTTCATTTGTGTGATATTTTAGATTCCACATATAACTATTATCATTGAACTATGGTTTTCTTAAATATACAAAAACACACAGCTCTGTTTATATCTCTTATGCTTGTTCTGGAACTAAAACACATAAGTTGGATTGAGACTCAAACCACAAAACCAGTAACTTCAGCTTAACAATGACGTCCAGATGCTGCTATCCTACTGCGCAAAATGCTGTTATGACATAGACAGCTACTGTTCATTTTCTTTTGCATCTCTTTTCCCACTTCTCTCATGGTTTTCTTTATTCAAACTAAAGCTAAATCTTTGAGCAGAGTCCTCTGTAAATGTTTTTGCATGAATTTATTTAAAAAATTGTCTGGAAAAAAAAATTGTCTGGATCCCATGCTCAGAGAATTTGTGGTTCACTGGTCTCATGTGTCTGTCTGAGGCCCCATTCTCCCTCTCTTAAAAAAAAAAATTATGTATTTATTTTTCTGCTTCGGGTCTTAGTTGCAGCATGCAGGGTGTTTTAGTTGCAGCATTTGAACTCCTAGTTGCAATGTGTGGGATCTAGTTCCCTAACCAAGGATGGAACCGGGGCCCCCTGCATTGGGAGCTCAGAGTCTGAGCCACTGGATTGCCAGGGAAGGCCCAGAGGCCCCTATTCTCTTGATCTACTCTTTTATTCTCTTTTATTCCCAAATCTCACATCAATGCCTTCTCTCTTATAGGCAATCATTCTGGTTGTTTTAATGCAAATCTTTTTCTCTGCATGTGGATAACTTTGCAACATGCATTGCTAATTCCTGTGCATGCATCCATATTTTTTAACTCTTTATTAAAATATCACATGCACAGAGAAAGGCAGATATATTGTGTGGCGAGCATTTCCACAATGAGTAC